GCCCCGAAGGAGACCTATACATTGCTAAAACATACAAATTAAAATCACTTATAAAAACACATGAGTACTCTATACATTTTTCTAAATTATAATCTATACTAAATTTTTTTACGTTTCCTTTTAGAACATCACGAACAAATATTACCGTGCCACCTCCAGTAGAGTCCTTTCTTGCAGAAATTCCCAAAGTATCATATCCATTAATATTACATGTGCCAATTTCTTCTTCTGACATCCAATGCTCTGTTACACAGAGAACATCGATGTTCTTATCAACAATAAACGCCTCAAATTGCAGCAACTTATTTTTTAAGGACCTTGCATTGATGTTCAATATTTTGAGTTGCTTTGTTGGATTAGTTGTATTCTTGGATTGAATGGCTTCCTTGCTTTGAACTTCAATTATTGTCCCCCGTGTCGCTGACTTGTCGTGCGACTTCGGCGTTGAAGATTCATAAAATGGTTAATAGAAGTGCCTCTAGACCCATAGATTGGGTGACATTATTTCTTCTTTGAGATTAGTAGGCACAGCCAGTTTGAAAGAACTTTGAAGTTTATCCTTTTTGGTTCTCATTTTTTCACAAACATAGTCTTCGCTAGGATGTTTTTGTTTCAAATAATCCACAATATCTTTGCCCTCGAGTTTTGGAGCAAGACCAGAGACAAAAATCCATGATAATTTTGTGGCGGCAGTAAGACAATTTCCATTTTTGTTTGTGCCCTGAATCGGTTTTGGACGGTCTTGTGAAGTGTACCACCAAATAAATAAACTCAGGCACAGGAATGTTCAAAGAATGTAAAGAAAACAAAAAAAAAATCTACAGCGCAGCCCTGTATCACTCTATCTGCACTGCACTACTCCATCTGTTCTACTCTATCTGCACTATTCTATCTGATCTACTATTTCTGCATCACTCTATCTGATCAGAATAGTGGAATAGTTCTGTTCTAAATATCTCCAGTTCCTGAGCAGCATGGTTCTACTGCATCTGCAATGAAATACCGCGCATCGGTTAGCTTCGTTCTATGTATCATATATGGCGCCGTATACAAAATGGTTGTGGCGGACTCATAACCTGGCTCTCTGCCACTCTACACCAACCGGACGGAGCTCTCCGAACAGTCGGCACGGAACACGGCTGTCAAGGGATGCCTGAGAGGAGAAACGGAACTTAGCCACAGAACGTCAATGGTCAAGCGTCAAGAAATGACAGGTAGACCAGTTCGCGCTCTTTCGGAATGAACGAAGCAACTGCAAAATAAAATACACAATTAAAACATTGTCATTCTATTTATTTTTGGACATTTTTACTGTGAAGAACAATTAAAAATAAAGTGCTTTCCTCAAATTGTTTTTGTGCAAAGTGTGTGACAATAAAATCCCCATGGTTTGCAATGAAAATGTGACGGTAAACTTGGTATCGGTTATAAGAGATGGCGCCGTATGCGGGCTTAGTGAGTTTTTTTCATAAATAAGTAAAATAGATAAATTTTTTTTTGTTTTTTTTTTGGATTTTTTCGATTTATTATCCTAGGATGGACAAAGACAAATCCAATAAAGCAAAAATCATAAAAATCAGTCCAGCCGTTCTCGAGTTATAAGTGCTCAAATACCAACACAACTGTGTTTTATATACAGGGTGGGCCACTGAAAACTTACAATGGCTATAATTTTTGAACCAAAAAAGATATCAAAAAAATAAAAAATACGGTTTTTATAAAATCAAGGCGGAATACACATGACATATTTTTCAAACCACCCCGACCTACCCCTTAGGCGCCACCCCTATTCGCTTCAAAATCTTTAATGGCAACACCCCACTTGTGGCACCTTTTTGGAAAGCTCATGAAAAATGCTAAACGATGGTCATAAAATTTTTAGGGTGACATTGGAAAACTACCCGTCAAATGAAAAAAATTGGTAGAAATAAATTTTACAAAAAAAAAGAATTTTGAGCATGAAATTAGAGATAGGAAATTGAAGCGACCCAGCTAAAACCAAATTAAAAATGATCTAGATAATTTATTTTAACATTTTCCACCAATCCACAAATAAGAAGTTGCGGTAACGCAAATTCTTCCTTATCAGCTATTTGTTTACTTTTCTATAGCAACCCGACCCACAGCAACAAAAAAAAAAAACAAAATGCATTACTTACTGTCTTCTATCATTTTTCAAATCATTATTTTGCAAATTTAGTGACGATAGTTTCTACCTTTATTTAATTTACTTAGTTAAAACTTCGAAAAATGGTTTATAGTGTGGAAGAAAGAATTGAAATAGTTTTTCTTTATGGTGCTGAAGGTAGGTGCTATTTGAGAACAGCCCGTGCTTTCAATGAGAGAAATCCGGACAGAAACGTTAGTCACGTTTATGTTAGGGATTTGATCCAAAAGTTTCAACGAACGGGATCGGTCAAAAATCAAAAAAGGGTAGGGCCCAGGGTACTGAATGAAGAAATGGAAATCGAAGTTATTGGTCAGGTGTCGGTCAATCCAGAAGCATCAACGCGCCAGTTGGCATCAATAACAGGCATACCCCGAACATCTGTCAGAAGAGTATTAACAATGCACAAATTCCACCCCTACAAAATGAAAATTCTGCAGGAACTTGGCGACGATGATCCAGATAGAAGGATTCAGTTCTGCGAACTAATGACGGAGGAAATCCGAAGGCAACCTTCACTCACTAAAAATGTTTGTTTTAGTGATGAGTGCTCGTTTTTGCTAAATGGAAATGTGAATAAACAGAACTGCAGATACTGGAGCGATGAGAATCCCCATATTGTTGTTGAAGGACATACCCAAAATCCCCAAAAGCTCAATGTTTGGTGCGGAATACTGGGCGATAAAATAATAGGTCCATTTTTCATCGACGGAAATTTGACGGGTGCTGTTTATGTGGAAATGCTGTACAATGCGATAGAGCCGGAAATTGTAAATGAGGTTGAAAATCAAAGCGATTTGGGAGGAAATTTGAATCTTGATGAAGACATCATACACTTTCAGCAAGATGGAGCCCCTCCGCATTATGCTATTGTCACAAGGCGGTGGTTAGATAGATTTTATCCAAGGCAATGGATTGGCAGAAGGGGTCCAATCGAGTGGCCGCCAAGGTCACCTGACCTCACTCCGTTAGACTTATTTTTGTGGGGTTACATTAAATCCATAGTCTACAAGACAAAACCAGCTTCGTTGCAAGAATTGCGGCAGAGGATGATTGAGGCATGTCGAAACATTCCGAGAGAGATGTTCCAGAAAGGAGAGAAGAATTTGAAAGTCGTTTGTATTTTTGTATGGAACAAAACGGCTGTCATTTTGAGCAATTGTTAAAATAAATTATCTAGATCATTTTTAATTTGGTTCCTATTTTTCAAAATGTCACACCTACATTTCTTAATCTCTACTTAGCCGTAATTTTCTTAGGTTAAAATCCTTATGACCATCGTTTAGCATTTTCAAATAGCTTTCCATAGAGGTGCCACAAGTGGGGTACCGCAATCTTAGAATTTCAAATGAGTGAGGGTGGCTCCTAGGGGTGGGTCGCAGTGGTTTGAAAAATACGTAATTTGAATTTAGCTGGGTGGCTTCAATTTCCTATCTCTAATTTCATGCTAAAAATTCTTTTTTTTTGTAAAATTTATTTCTACCAATTTTTTTCATTTGACGGGTAGTTTTCCAATGTCACCCTAAAAATTTTATGACCATCGTATTTTTTATTTTTTTGATATCTTTTTTGGTTCAAAAATTATAGCCATTGTAAGTTTTCAGTGGCCCACCCTGTATATAGATTTTAAGAAAAAAAGTTATTCTTCATAAAAGTTTCTGCTTCTTGAAAAAATTATATTAAACTATTAAAACTTGAAATAGCTTGTACAGGGTGGTCAAAGAATAGAAAAATATACAGGGTGTTTCCTAAGTACGGTTCCTAACTTCAGGATGTGATTCCTTACAATATTTCAAGAAAAAAAGTTGCCATAAACATGTCTCCGGAAATGCATAGTTTCTGAGATACAGGGTGTCAAAGTTTTAGAAAAAATCGTTTTTAATGTTTTTAGCTCAAAAGTCCCTTTTCCAATTTTTTTTTTTTCAAATTTGGCAGGTTTGTTTGTGATAACGAAAGGTATCTTTTGACTGTAATATCACTTGCTTAATCTGAAAAAAATATCAAAGATTTAAAAAATAGTGACGGGCCATTTTTTTTTTACTTTGACCAAAAAACCCTGTATATTTTTCTATTTTCTGACCTCCCTGTACATGCTATTCCAAGTTTTAATAGTTTAATACTATTTTTCCAAGAAGCAGAAACTTTTATAAAGAATAACTTTTTTTCGTAAAATTGATAATAAAAAAGTTTCCCATATGCTGCGAACTTAAGTGGACACACTGTATAATATGTATAACGATTTTCAGCCTTAATAAATTCGTTGCATTACCCAAGTTTTTTCGACAACTTTGAACATGACACCCTAGGTCCTTGTTCTGTTTCGCTTGATTGACCGCGCTATATTTATGTACACGACTATTAGTAAATTCAGAGAATTTTTTCGGCGCTGGCTCTCCGTCCATAATTAGCGAGGTAACTAGGGTCAAATTAAAGCCAATTAAATTTTCTACCAACCCCTTAGTTAAGGGCAAGAATGAGTTTGTTTTTTATGACACAAATAGCCCAAAGCCCACTGCGTTTTTGTCAGTATTGGTGGTGAGTTTTTCGGTCAAGTGGGGTTTTTTGTATGCCAACCTTGAGTATGTAAAACCGAAAGCTTGTCAGATCGGAACAGTCTTGTTGCAATGTTGGCCTTGACACTCAACAATTTACCTATATTTTTAAAGTGAATATTACTCTTGAAGCACATTCAAGCCATTCGAATGTATGTATCTACTTTATATAAGGCTATTGGAAGAAATAAACAAAAAAAAAACTAAGTTTAAACTGCTATCTTATCTTTCTGCCTAATATTATAGCTATGCTAATCACAACTTATATTTGACCTTTCCAGATATCTCCTTTGCAACTCTACTCAAAAAAGTTGAAGCAAAGACAACCACATACTCGTCTCTCTATGGACCAGTAGAATGGGCGGCCAGTGAGAAAAAACACGTCGACGTGTTCGTCAATTTTATTCACAACAATATGAAAATTAGATTTGAGCCAATTGTTAGATATAGATCGAAAGTTAATCTTCCAAATGCAAAGTAAGTATAACTTAGAATAGAATATACAGGGTGTCCCAAAAAGATACCGACAAACTTTAAAGGATAGTAAGGGACATCAAAACAAGCATTTTTGTTGATATAAACATATGTCCGCAAATGAGCCATTTGGGCTGTAGAGCAAAAAAACTGTTTGGTACTTTTATTCTTCGCAATAATTAAATCACTGTTTATTTATTAATTTTTCTTTAATTAAAAATAAATTATGGTTTATAATAATTGTTCAAAATGTTGACCATTTACTTCAATGCAAAGATTGCACCGTCGGGTCATTAATAGACAACTAAGTTAATTAAGGAAACTAATCACAAATTAGTTATTTGTGCAACCAGTTGGGAAAAGCATTATTTTTCGTAACGAGCAGATTTCGGAAGGAAGCGAGTTACGAAAAATAGTGTTTCCCAACGTGTTTCACACAATATTTTTTCTAATTTTGTATTTTATGATCTGATCCATTCAAATTCGATTCAGAAGCATGAAAAATAACCCTCCTTTAATTATTTCCTAAATCGTCAGTATTGTTCAGTAAGTTTGGTGATTCAAAACTGTTACTGTTATTTATATATTTTATATTGCATATTCTTTGTTCATTTCAAGTTATCAATAAAGTATCAATCAAAAAAAAAAAAAACCGGTCATTGCTTTCGGCTATCATCAACTACCTACTCTGCTTGTAGATTCTGTGGCTGATTTGCTGAGAATTAAATAGCATGGGAAGTCTAATACAGCCGCTAAGGGCTATGTGGAGAAATCGATAACTATAATAAACAGGAAATTGTCACCAAAGTTGGTGAGACTTCCATGGAATTGGAGAATACATTCAATTTATTCATTTAATTAATGCTACACAGAAAATTATGTTGTCAATATCATCAATAATTGTTCAAATTGTGTTAAGTATTAATATTTTTAACTAACTAGTTTTTTTCCATACATTGTCATATTATGGAACGAATTTGGATAAAATTAAATCTTCATAATATGTACGTACAAAGAATATAATAACAACAAAGTACTCCAAGTAGTTCAGCCCCAAAAGTATCACAGATTTTGTTCCTGGATTTTTTGCAACTAATGGTCAAATTTACTTTTGATCACCAGTTGCGAAAAATTTTACTTTTCGTAACTGGTGATGAAAAGTAAGGCATTTGATAACGTCAACGAGTTTTGAAAAGTGTCACTTTAAATGTCAAAATTAGAAAAAATAAATTTCACGACGATCCCTAGGTAGGAATTTTCGAAATGTTTTTGCATTTTAAGGTTTAAAGTCAACCCCTATTTTCTGAACCTTGTGTTCAAAAATTCCAAAAAAATATATGTTTTATGGTTATCGATATACTTTAATCGTTAATTTTTTTAAGCAAATTTGACTCGCCATTTTTGAGTTATATCGCAAAAACTGAAAAAAAAAATAGTTTTTTACCATTTATTTCAAAACGAATAGATGAAGTTTCCCATTATTTTTATTACAAACTACTATTGCAATTCTACGCGACATATATTTTTTTCAAATTTTTTGAACTTGTAGTTTTCTCGCTACTGCAAAAATAGTTGGAAAGACGCCCGTAGCTACACTGTTTAGAAAAAAATCCGACAGATGAATATTCATAATTATTTGCGTTGGTCGAAACTACAACCCGGTTTATGTAAAACAGAATAATACTTCGAATTTCCGCCAAAAAAAGAAAAAACGTTCCATCACATAATTTAACCAAATGCAGATTTCTATTTTTTTTGACAGTCAAGTTAGGGTACAGTGCCTCTATTAAACCTCTTATAACAGTGGCGACAATGGGGAGTTAGCTCCGCCCATCCGCCATGTTGTTGCAAACATTAATATTTGCGGCATAGCTGTAATATGGCGTTTAAAAGAAATTAATTTATGAAACATTGTTTTTAGAACAAATTAATTAAATTTAGGATATTTTGATTTCCTTAACTTATCCACTAATATTGTGAGCAGACGAACTCTTCTTGGAATGTTCTTAAGTAAATGTATGTGTTGTTATACCTACATATAAAGTAGGAGAAATACCTACTGTATTTTGCATTTTTATTCTTTTTAGCCCGTAATATTGTTAGGGCGGCATTTGATTTGAAATAAATTCATTCAATGAAAAGGATAAATAGGTCAAATATTAAGTTGTTTTATTTTATCAATTCAACCTATTGAAGCTGTGCTATTGACTTATATTGTAAGTTGACAAACTTCTGGAAGGTATGAAAATCTAATGAAATACATCAAGAATTCAAGTTTCTATAATATGATTAATAAAACGCAGTTACTTACTTACAATTTTTGATTTATTGAAAAAAACATAGCATCCCTATTTAAATTTATAGAGAAATTAAATGTATTAGAATTATAAAAATAGCTACATATTTATATAAATAACAAATACATAAAATAAGTTTATTTATTTATTAGTTCAGTATCAACAGCCAGTCGTCAATTACAGATACAGTTAAAATACAAATAGAAACAAAACAAACTATAGTAAAAACTATTATTGTACATACATAGAAGAACTTACTTCCGCCTATTCAAAATTAAAGCCCTAAAGTGTTTAACCTTAATTTATTGTCTATAAGCTTTTTAAAAGTTTTTATGTTAATAATACAGTCAATATCAGTATCCGATACATGTAAATTAAACAAGTTACATAACTGATAGACTGACGAGTTTTTGTACAGGTTTGTTCTGGGAAATGTAAGACAAAACATTTTAGTATTTCTCGAGTTTGGGCGATTAATTGCAAATGGTAATTGATTTAAAATATCTGGACAGTCAATATCACCTTTGAGGATTCTGTACATTGTACATACAAATATTTTAATCCTTCTCTTACTTAACAAGAGTCTGTTAAACAAGCCCAGAAGATAATCATTGTCGCAGCCCTCTTGGAGTCCTTGGAGATATGTGCTGAATTTTCTGAAGTACATAGCCTTGAAAAAAAAAAATCTGAACCCCCTCGACAATTTTAATCCAAATGCTATATTGAGAACACCATATTATGGCGCCATACTCTAAAATAGGTTAAACTAAACTGTCAAATAAATATAAGCTAACATCAATATTTAAGTTCTTTGGATTTTTAATGATTAGACATGACACTAAGCTTTATTGAAAAAATATTGTATAACATTTGTGTTAAAAGTATTTTTAATGCACTTATGTGAATTGCAAACTTTCACATGCATGCCTTAAACTTTAAACTTGTACTTTTAACACTTAGGTATATCATAAATAACTATTATAAAAGTAGGTAGACCTTTTTATTATTAAATAAGTAGAATTAAATTGACTCAAAGTAGAGCTGAAATTTGAAATCTTTCATGTGTACAATGAATCTATACATACTCTGTATTAACCGAGCTTTTAAAAGATATTAAGAGAGAAATAAAAAAAAACACAAAGTCTTCCTCCACACAATTTTTTTAATTGAAAATTAAAAAGCCCTACATTTTTCGAAGCTATTCATCATCAGGGGCAAGTTTGCTCAATATTACTTACACAGTTTTACATCATTTATTTGAACCGCCGAACTTAGCTGTAAAGAGAAGAAGACAACTTCAGAAACTAGTCAAGATGAGAGAAAAATGTGTAAATTTGTGTGGAGGAAGACTTTAGTCTAGGAAAATAGTCGAAAAATACATGCATTGCAAAAAAAAAATTCCTACTCAAATGAATTTTTCAGGGATAATAGGGGGCGGGTGGGTGATCATAAAACCGAAGATATCAAACATTCTTGCGCTATAGGGATTGAAAGTGCGCCATTGGCGATTACTTGATACCTATTGATTTTACAAAAAAAAAATCAAATAAAAGATGTGCAACATTATTTGATCTACAATGCTTATCTTAGGACTTTTTTGATTAAGAGCCGTCTGTGGTCATAAGGGCCGTTTGAAACTTATAATGAAAATACATTTTTTAACCAACTTGGAAAAATTTTCTACAACATATACAACGTTTTTGCTCTATGAAGTTTTTACTCACCCCCTGTCGTTTCTCAATAGAGATAGTTTAAAGTTTTTTTATTTTTTTACAAAAAAAGTTTCTTAATAAAAATTTTATAAGATTAAATTTTCTATAATTTTTCCTTATAAACTTTTTTTGTAACTCACCCCATTCAGCGGGGGGACACTTCCCTTAGAGAAATTTTAGTTTTTAGAGGTACAACATATATATTGTTTTTTTTTTTTTCGCCTTTAGTACATATAAAAAGTTGCAATTAACATTGTATTAAAAGGATTTTTTTTCCACCAGCTTTTTGTTTTTAGGGGTAGTTCGCCTATTTTCAACTTTAGAGCAAGAATGTATTGAGAAAACATTTTATCATTTTGCACAACTTTTCTATATCATTTTTTTTTTGTAAAGTTGAAAATAGGCGAACTACCCCAAAAAACAAAAAGGTGGTGGAAAAAAAACCTTTTAATACAATGTTAATTGCAATTTTTCGTAGGCACTTGAGGCAAGAAAAAAAAAAATAAAATTTTACCCCTAAAAACTAAAATTTCCCTAAGAAAAGTGTCCCTGAGTTACAAAAAAAGTTGATAGGGAAAAATTGTAGGAAATGTAAGTAATCTTATAAAACTTTTATTGAGTTTTTTTTTTTTTTTAATGAAAAAACTTTAAATTACCCCTATTGAAAAATGGCAGGGGATGAGTAAAAATTTCATAAAGCAAAAACGTTGTATGTGTTGTAGAATTTTTTTTCACGTTGGTTGAATTTGTTTATTTTCATTATAAATTTCAAATGGACTTCATGACCACAGACGGCCCTGTATCAAAAGTCTTTAAATAAACATTGTAGATCAAATAATGTTGCACATCTTTTATTTATTTTTTTTTTGTAAAATCAATAGGTACCAAGTAATCGCCAATAGCGCACTTTTAACCCCTACAGCGCAAAACGCCAGAGGGGTGATGTGTGATATCTTCGGTTTTATGATCACCCACCCGCCCCCTATCACCCATG